CGGCTGCCTGCACCTAGTGCCCGCTGCGCCCCGCCCACATCCCCACACTAGCCACGCCCTTAGGTCCCTCCCGTCCCAAAGTGCCTGAGCGCGTCCCTGTTCCCAGGTCCCATTTCTCTGCCGTCAACACACATTACCTTCTTGGGCGCTGTCTTCCTATTGCAGCCCCCCAACTGGGACCCAGTATTCCTGGGGAGGGGCACTTTCGCTAGGTTGGCAGGCATCTGGGGCACGGGTTCCCGTGGCTAAAAGCTCATCCTTCTTAGATCAGAAGGGACTGGATGTAGAGCCGGCTCAGGGAAGCGTGGGTGACTTGGGCTGCCCTGCTGAGCAGATGCACTGGAGACCCCCACCTCGCTTTGGGCTCGGGGGGGTCCCTGGTTTTCCAAAGCTCTGAGGGTCACAGCCAGTGAGGCCCAGCTAAGATGTAGACCCACCCCCAGCGGATGGGGCGGTGTTCAAGGCCGCATATGCCATAGTGACTGAGCTGGAACCAAAAGGTAGGCCTTTTCACTGCTACCCCAGATTTCCAGCCATGGTTTCTCAGGGGGGTCAGCGGACAGGGACTGATGAAGGTGGTGAGAGGCCTCCCGAGCCAGGGGCACAGCTGTCTGATGCGAGGGGAAGAGAAGCAGAGGGGAAGAGGTGACGTAGAAGGCACACAGGGAAGAGGCTGGCCAGCCAAAGGAGGGGACAGTGCAGGTGACCATTGTGAGGTAGGAAGTGAGGCAGAGCCTGCAATCCTGAAGCATGGGGAGGGGCCCTGGGAAAGAAGAGTCTTACTGAGACCCTTGAGTGTCCCCTGTGGGATGGGAGTGGCACTGCCATGGACTGCTTCCGGGAAGCCCAGCCTGGTCCCTCCCCTAGCGCTGCGTACAGCCGCCCCCCTCTGCTGTTTATTTATTGCACGAATCTAAGTTATTCTCCCCAGCCAGAGCCCAGCTCCTGCTACCCGGGAAGTGGCATGTGGTCCTGAGCTGGGCTTTATATTTTATATATGCACATCGCATTTTATCTTATATTTAGGGAAGGCCAGGTGACAACGTTTTTAAAGATTGCCCGGCCCCCAGAATTTATTTATTTTCTGACTTACAGTGAGCGAGTTATCCGCCTTCTGTATTTTGTAGACTGTCTAAATAAAGTGGAGTTCTCTTTTCCGCAGAGAAGTGTGTGTTTTGGGCGGTGTTCTGAGCAAGGGTGGGGCCTGTGGGGAGGTGCGCCCCACCCCACTAACTCT